TATAATGAGCAAAACTGACAAATTTAGAAGTAAGGATGCAGGCTTTTAATGACAAGGACAGGAAGTTATTCACATGACCAGACAGTTTACAGGCAGAAATGCTTACCTATGGAAAGTGTGTGGTTCAAAAATACATGTATTTCAAGGTATGTGTATTTCCAAGCCTGGAAACAAGAAACAGACATAAAAAAATAAGTAATCAAATCCCCCCAAAGTTGCAATTAACAAAATAAGTTCAGCTGAGGAATACAGAGTGCCAAGCTTTACCAAAAGGAAGAAATAGAATTATAATTCAAAACATTGAACAGAGTAACTGTCCACAAAGTAATTCAAAAACCTATGCCAAAGCATTTGCTACCAATTTATTTGCTGCTGACGACTGAATAGACTGAAGTCTGGGTCCTTCGTTAAATTACATGTTTCAGAATTAATCATGTAGCCTGCAGCAGGTAGCAGATGCTTTATAGGGTGACTTAGAGCAGACAGTCACCTATTACTGCTCATTATTTAATAGCACTGCTTTAACTCTACTGTGATTGCATTCACTGCTGGGTAGGTGCTTTTCCAGGCTCATGTTTTCACAGTTCCTTCACAAGATTTCACACCTGATTCCAGAGTATTACATTGACTCCAGTTGGCCTAGTGTATAAGCAGCAGCAGCTGGGAGAAATTTGCTGTACAATTTGTCCTAGATGGGTTTCACACGACAACGATGAATTTGTTTTCTTACCAACTAGTTATCATGAGATCCCAGATACCAAAATTGTGTATATGTTTTCAATATTATTCACTGTCAGTTATGTGCAGTACAAAACGAAAATATGCAGCTTATGACCAGAAGTCAGAGTCAATGATATAACTCATTATTATGTAATGGATAAAGTAATTCCATTTGCAAAGTTAAAAAAATATGCAAAACTTGCAATGTATGACAAAGTTTATCCGGCACTAGCAGAAAGGACACAGATGACAAATTTCCTTGTATTTCCTTATCTAGAAGTTGCAGAGAAATTGCCACACCATTGATCCCACAAACCTGAGGCAAAGCCTTAGAATTTACTTATTTTTTGGTGAAATTAATTTTTCTTCAACAACATGAGATGTTTTTATTTTTCAGTGATTCTTTATTTCTGCAAACATGATTTCCATTTGGTTTGTCTCTGTAGTTTTAGAGAAATACTCAGAGAATGTCAATGGGAAAGCTTATCTATTTCAGAGTTCAAGGAACTCACTGAATCCATTAAAGTTATTCCAGATTTTTTTCATTATAACTGGCAACAGGTTTTGATTAAGATTTTTCTACATCATCAATAATCTGCTAAGGTAACAGCTTTCATTTTATATATAATATTATTTCCTGCATAAGCTTTAAATCATAGTTTTCAGTTTTGCATTTTTATCAGTTTGTTGTATCTAAGTGCTGATGATATGTGGCATCTATCACATATGGCATGTACTCTTACATTATAGAAATATGTTCATCCCCTGATTTCTTTTATTAACCAAGATTGTTTTTCCAAGTGGTCTTTAATTAAGTATTTCATTAAGGACCATTAAGGAATTATATATAAACTCTTCACAGTTCTCATCATCAATCATAAGCACTTCACTCACAAGTAGCTATAAGTTTGAAATTTATCTGCCAGTTTTACTAAAAAGCCTTTTTAGAATATGTATTGAAAATCAAACCAAAACAAAACTCCTCTTCATTTCCAAAAGGGAATTTTCAAATTATATTAATTTAAAATAATCAAGAATTTACTTAGAGAGTTTAAATAAAGTGATTAAAAAATGAATATAAGGATTTTTCCATTCTTCTTCATTCTGGCTAGAGTAAAGGCAGCTCAAAATTATAGATTACTCCCTCTCTTTAAACAAGGTAGAAAGTGGTGAAACAATGCTAGGTAGATGCACAGTAGTAATGGATTATGCAGATTTTTCTCTCCTGGGTCACTGTTATGAATCTGATCCAAGATAGCAGTGACGAAATGTCACTGTCATTTTATGGCTTTTAGTGTGAAATCCTGACCCTGTGAGGTCAATGGCAAAACATCAGCAGTGCCAGGATTTTCACCTTTCAAGTCTCTAGGGTGCAAAAAGTATTAAAGTCTGACTCAGCATTCATTGACTTTAATAGGAGTTATACTAAGTTCAAGGTCCAGATTTTTAAAAGTCCTTAAATGCTGCTTTGCTCATGCTTTGAGCATAAGAGCTGCATTCTTCAGATGGTTCAAACACTTAAAACCATAGCTTTAAAGTCATAAACTTTTATCTTTAAAGTGAAATGTTCTGACAGGCAAGATAATATAGGGATGCTAAATCATACACAGTGTCAAAACAACACCCACATGAGATGTGGATCTGCCATCACTCCTGTTGTCCACCTCTATGTTTAGCCCAACAGTACTTCTAACTCACACCCCACTTCCAACCATTTCTCTTTCCTCTTCTACAATATGAGAAGATCTAAGGGAGAAGATCTAAGTCCTGAAGGCAGAAGATCTAAGTCCTGAAGGCTTCTCTGCTACAGTTATGCAAGGACTATGCCCTCCTGAGTGCTCCTCTCTGGACAGGGAAATGCCAAGTGGACATTCTCAGAGGGCTGTGTTTGGGAAGTAATCCTATAGTGAGGTGTTAAATGATGTTGCCCACCCAGAGTGTAACTCATATCTGGACCAACTCGGGATCCCTCTTAGTGTACTAAGAGAGCTGAGCACCTTAGATGTGATTCACAAAAGCTGCTTGCTGCCCCAGCCAGTGTCAGCAAAGGTCCAAACATTGCTGCCTAAAGCACATCAGTGAGAAAACACTGAGGAAAGAAACAAGCCTTTAAATCAAGTTCTTTTCAGCAGCACAAAAGACTCAGCCAAGTGAAAGCCATAGTCTGAGATAAATTTATGAGCGGAGCTCAACTTTTAAAACTGTGATGGGAGAATCTGTTGCCATTTGCTCTGCTAAACATGATGCAAAGCTATCTTTTTATCTAGAGATTATATTAGCCAGAGGAATCTCTGACTCTTGACCTTTGTTATCAGATGGCACACATCCCCTCGCTCTGTTGTCTGGATTATTCTGCTCCACTAGGCTAAGCACTGGACAAGGGCTGCTTTCACCATATTTATTCACTCTTTTGCTTCTTTCTCTGAAAGCAAAATCCTTGTCCCAGATGACAGGAGGTTCAACACCTCTTGGTCTACCATGTTTGTGGCCGTCAAGAAATTTAGCATAAAATGTGTCTTCTAGTCTGCATTCTGTCTTGTCTGACTTATGGTCAATTCCCAGAAAGTTCACTACTACAGAATGTGAGGTCTCTGTCGTACAGGAATAGTAATCCTTTGTGTCAAAGTAAAACAGGAGACGTCATCAAACACCCTTCCAGGAGTGATCAATTCAAACAAACTCTGCATCAATTCCTTAAAAGCAGGCAGAGATGGTTTAGTAGCAGCTTTTTTTGCAGAAAAGACATTACAAATCATTTTAAACCAGCAGCTACAGGACCCTAACTCTCAAATCTTGCAATTTTACAAGCTTGAAAAGGTTTGATTCTGAAAAGGAAATAATATAATCTAAATGAGTTGTCAGATTTTGAGTGTTTATCTGAAATTAAAATCCCAGTATGAAATGATTTGTTCATTCCCCCCCAAAAATTAAGGTACACAAATACAAAAAGTATGTCTTGTTGTAATATGTGCTTTCCAGACATATTTCACTTGTACAAATGCACAATTCAGGCCTGTGTCCTTAAAAGTATTTAGTTCTGCTGAAAACCACCCAGGAATTAAACTGGATGAAAGCATGCTTGAGAAGTTGCTGGAGGTTTAATTATCTTTTCTTTTTTTCTCTTTAGTAGGAGTTCTGAATTCTGGAGGGGTAAAACTCCAGTCTCTACTGTATTGAAATGACATTTTTTTAGCACTCCAATCATTGTCTCTACTTGACTAAGACATTTCTGTGCTAAAGCAGGTGCATTTACTTTTCAAGTATTATTTTACTAATCAATTGAAAAATTACCTTCATGAATGACAGAAGTGCAGACCTTTGGAGTATTTCATTAAAAGGAGCAAACATTAATTACAAATCCAGCCCAGCCTTTGCAGACATAAATTATGGGATGGATCTATTTTCTCCATGCTTAATTGCAAGCAGTGACTAGCTCTTTAAATTATTATCTCCAAGGCATGAATGAAATTAGAATGGATTTGATGATATTCTCAAGGCTTATTTGTATCTAAATAACTTGGCCATGTACTGTCTGGTAATATAAGGAAAAGTAGATGAAATACCTTTGAGGCTTTAAAGAGAGATTAGGTTACCATGTAAAAATTGGGATTTGCAAAATGGAATTGGAAACTCAAAGTCTTTGCAGACAGGGAGTCTAGTTGCAGATTTAACAATGGAAGAATTAATACTGTCCAAGTATTTTTCTTCTGAAGTCTAAGATTTTTAGGTGTTTGTAGTTTTCTGAAGCATTCACATTTCAGGCAGAATTTTCCAGGTAGTATCTTTTCTGAAAAGCAATATTTGCATTTCAAGAAAAAGAACTGTTTTTCTAGTGAAGTAGAACACCCTTCCCACAGAATTAAGAAGGTTGAATATTTTGATTATTTGGAATAGCTACAATGCTAACATGTTTGTGTTCAAACTGAAAGCTGGCAGGGAAATAGATGAATAAAGTGCCTTTAATTGGTCCATTGAAAACCAATTTTGAATGAGCTATGTTTGTTGATATGAAATAAGATTTGAAAGACATTCAACAATGGCCAAATTTTCACGTGGTCTTTTCTCCCGACTAAGACATGTTTTTACAGCATATTTTCTACTTCCCTTTTTGACTTTTTTAAATACCAAGGATCAGCATTTTTTTTCTTTGTGTCCTAAAACTCAGATGAACAGTTAGGCTATTTTTTAAAGACATTTGAAAGTAGTTTAAATTGGAAACCCTGAAAACAAATTTCTCAATTTTAAAACAAGTTTTACTTAATATATGTCTCTTCTGAGTTCTACTTTACCTACCTACAGTTTTATAACTCCATCTGTTTTCCAAGGAGAAGTATTCAATAGTTACCATTTATGATGGTATGACTTAAATTATTACCATATAATGAAACTCACTTCCAATTTCTAAAAAAATATTTGTTCAGTACATGACAAAGAGATGGAGCAGAATAAAATTAAAAATTGAACATGCATAAAACTCAAACAAATGAACATGAAACTATTTGATAAGCCCCAGTATAAGGCAAAACTGATCTTGAAGTTTCTGAGCAACTCAGATATGGAGATCTTCCAGTCCTTTTCTGCTTAAAATAGTTTAAGAATTCATTCCCACAGGAACAGAACAGCACTGTATACACGTAGATAACAGAAAAGGTGGTTTACTATGACAAGCGAGGAAAAGATGTAGACTACAAGATTTTTTCTTTTTATAAAAGAATGATGAAAACATAATTTTTTTATTTTTATGCATTTAATGGTTTAGACTTTGCACTTGAAAAAGAAAACATTCTTCATAAGGACTCTGACCTTTATATACTACACAGATTGTGGACAAAGGGGTCTGAACAAAGACTCTCAATAGGAACTGCCTGCCTCATGTTTTCACTCTTCTTCTAGCAAAAACGTTAATCATTTGGCATTGCATACTAAAAGAAAAATAATAATAAAATAGATAATGACTTGCTTGCAGTTCAATTTACTTGTGTCATGATATAATAAATACCAAGCTGAGTTTTCACAATATTAATCATTAACCTAGGAGAGGGCATTCGCTTAAAATTCTTGTTTCATGAATACATTTGCAGTTATTTTAACAGCAGTTCCAAATATGCTGAAGACATAAACAAGCCCAAGTGCCCCCAGAAGCCAAACTCCTTTTCATCTTTTAACTTTTGGATATAAAGTTATCATCCATCTCCCCTGATCGAACAGTCTCTGAAACCTGAACAACTGAAGCAAAGTTGGATTCTGGGAGGTACAGAGGAAGCCTAGCTCAGACTGAGAGCTTTATTTGTGCAAGACACTGAAACATGCAGGGCAGGGGTACATATATAACTCAAAATATTCTGATACAGTACTGATTTTTTCCAGCTTTTCCTCTGTGACAGACTTCTCAGGCCCACAGCAAAATGTTTCAGGTACTGAACTGAAGATTCTGCAACAACATTAGAAGATTATTTGGAAAAAAAGTCTATTCTACTGGAAGGTTAGAGATTGGTTCAAAAAAATTTAGAAATAATTGGTCCAGCACTGAGAAGACTTCATGGGCTTAATATTGTATCTTGTTTAGGAGAGAGAAGAGTGAAAAATCCTATTTGCTTGGATTTTGTATTTATAATAAAGGTGGAATTTTGTATTTAAATTATGTTCCCTTTTTTCTCCATGATATTTCACCCTAATTTAAAAGTGAGGAGTTAAAGATTGATCTGGAGCTTGGGAAAAGCAGTCAAGCAGTGGACCACTGCAGACAGGGTGAAACCTTTAACCATATTGCCTGAGAAAGGCAGTACTTGGCAATCTATCCCTGAGAATGATAGTGTCATAGGTAACCTATTTGCTCTGGAATCTAAACCAGAGCACCCCATTTAAACCATCTGCATCTAAAATTAAAGTAAATATGTTATGGGGATCTCCCCACTTACACAGGCCTGAATGGAATGTCTGATTTTTAACAGACCTGGACAAACTCCTCATTATTCTTAGTAACCCATTCAAAACAAAATTTGTTCTTTTTTTTTTTTTTGTCTAAAACCATCCAATCCTAAAATCTCATTTAGATCTAGTCACTGAACATCAAGTCCTTTGTTTTTCTTTATAAGAAAAATATCACTAGCAATTATTATTTTTAACACCTTGCAGAATATATATATATATATGAGAGAAAGAAACATCTTAGGCACTGTTTGAATCTAACACCAATGTAATTTATACCATCTAGAAAGGTTGGAGTAGAGGAGGTAGGAAATTGGTTAAAAGGGAGTTTTAAAAATTAAGATACTTTCTTTATCAAGGGTTATGGAAAATATATGAAGGAGGAATATTATGTACCTTCAGTCAATGGATACATGGTTTTGCCTCTGAATACAAAATTGCAGAGACTTTGCTTCAAGTTTCAAAGATTGTTAATGGAAATATTGAGAAATCATAATTTCCATCTAAATACTAAACAATGGCCTATTAATGCCTGTTTTTTAGTCTAAATGGAGGCAAATATTTATTCAGATATTGCTATGCACCAAAGCAACATGCATTAATTATAGCTAACAAAGAATATGAGCAAATACTGCTCTGAGGCAGATCCCTAGTCACAAAGCATGCAGCACAGCTTCTCTGACACATGGATGTTATAGCCTTTCTAACATGCATTTCATGGAGTGGGCTGTGCCATACTAAACGATGTAAGCCATAGAAACTTTGGCTTACACTGAGGACAACCACATGGGACTAATAACCAGTTCCAGTGCAACTCCTGCATCAGGACTATAACATGAGTCCAAGTAACCGGAGGACCCAGGAACACTTCTTTGCAGACTCTGGTGCAAACATAGGCTACCCCCAAGCTGACAAAAGGACAAGATCCCAGGGCACATCAGTGCACCTGAAAACCAGTTTCAGTGCACTCCACATCCATGTGTCTGGAGATGGAGTACTGCATGGAAACAGCCCCTGTGAATACTAAGAAGACTGAGGCCAGTCAGAATCTGATGAGTAATGCCAATTTTTGTTTGCAGGAAAGGTGAACTAGTATGGACCATCAAGACCAGCATAGCTGGGTTTCACAGACCTACATCTGACCCTGTTCTGGAGTTTGAGGGTTCTGAGTTGAGAGAAACGCAGCACAATAGAGAATCATAACTAGTTTATTGATACAGGGAATATATAGAGGTAACAAAAGATACAGTAAAGGATATTTCTGATGTTTGGTTATCTTACCAACCCCAAGGACCATGTAATGACAACCAGGAAATCAGCTCCGAGAAACATCTTTGGAGTGCGAGGTGGCACCTTATCAGGTGTCCCCATAGAGGCAACGTTGACCTGGGTGGCATGAGGTTCTGACCCCCCATCACATGAAGCTCAGGCTTTTATACTAACAAAAATGCACACTCATTCTGACTCAGGGGCCAGCCTATGTCAGAAGAAGTGACCAGCAATATCTAGAAAGGTCTCCAAAGGTCGGGACTTTTCTGGGCAGTTCTAAAGCTGAACTTTCTGGGGAGGAACCAAAGCGGGACCTTCAGGGGAGGAGCCAAAGCAGACAAACAGTATTTTTCTATCTTTGTGCGTTTCACAACGGGCCATTATCTATTGTCCCTGACAGAGACCCATGCTGTACGGGAATACGAGGCCCCTGCAGAGAGCTGCCCAGAGTCTCCCTGTGCCCCTCAGGGCTGTGGTGTGTGACCTACAGCTGTCACATGCTAGGATTGAAGCACATGTCTGACAGGAAAGCTGGTCACTCTCATCACTGCTGGTCTATGCAGATAGAGTTACAGACACACAAAGATGACAAGGGTGTTAATGAGTATCATACTGGGGGCCACAAAACACAACAGTACCTTCCTATAAGTTATGTACATAGTTCTCATTCTGCACTTCTCTCTTTTTCTCAGTCCAGCAAATTCTGAAATAACAAGAGTAGCATCAGTACGAGAGAGATGCATCTGTGTAGTGATTTTGAAATGAGTTGACTCCTGGCTGTGTCACCTCTCCACCTTACCTTCCTCCAACTGAGTTTGTTCTTGTGTTTTTAAGCTGAAATCTGACATGGGAGAAAAATTATTATTATATCCATCTGAACCTTCCCAACCATTTAAATAATCATATCACCTGTAAATTGTGAATAACCTTGTTACACATTGTGTAATTAATGTGGGTTAAACTCCTGAGGGATAAAGGCTCAGAGTGTTTCAAATAATAGTTCTTGGTCTGTCTTTCTCTGACAGTGAAATGCGAATAACAATTTATTTTAGCCAAAACAACCAATTCCAGGTGAATTTATGTCCTTAATGGGAGAGCTGCCATGACAAACAAGAAGCGGATGTAGCTATACAATTCAGTGCGTTCTAGTCAAAAGTGAAGCATCTTAAATCAAAAGTTTCAGTAGGCTTAAAGATTCCTGCTAACCCCCTCTATTAAATCTTCATAATAACGTGACAAGATAGAATTCGTGTCTTCTACTTTATTAAAAAGAGGGCAACTACTACAATAAAATAATATTGAGAAATAAAATTTACCTTGGATCAGTTTCATGTAAACATAAAAAAATCAACTTCTCAGAACTCACATGAAAAACATAATGTAGTTAATATTAAATACGATTATGCAACCCATTACTTTTACAGTTTGTGCTTCTGTGTCCTTGATTTCAGCCCTGTTTTGCTTATGATTAATGAATGACTAACCTTCAGTACTCTCATTTGTTTCATACCTCATTATGAATTTGAAAATGTCAATTTGCTATTTGAAAATAGCAAAACATGCATGGAAATTGAACAATGTTCATAAATACAACTGACACCTGTATAAAAAAATTCCCAATGCCAAGTATTGTATTTTGTTTTCATAGTTCACATATTCTGACTGGTTTTGATATAACTTTGAAGAGTAGATAGCTTGTTCCCATAAAACAACTGGTTAAATTTCTGTATGTGTTTTCTAAGAACATCAGGAATGTCCTTGCACACCCTACGCAGTTACTTTCACACACAGATCCTAGAATAGCACCTGGTACACTTAACTGTTTTCTATTTTGACTTGTCAAGGTCTTATGCTATAATTTCCCATGGCTTCTCATCTGTTTTGCTTGGAATTATTTTACCAAGGTTTGATACGTTATGATGTTATGTGATTATACTGTTAGCATTCAGGTAGGGACAAAATGTAGGCTAGAAAAAATGGTAGAATTTTGTGTATATTAAGCTCATAACTGTTAAAGCAAAACCACTAACTTATACTAATACCAAAGTTTCACGCCAACATGTCACAGTACTACTTTGTTGTTGTTGTTATACTCTTTTTACGTATTGATAATTACTTGCAATTACAGAATCTGGTAGTTGAAAAATATTTACTTAAGGAGGAAAATAGGCCTGGGTAACATCAGGACAAAATCATATTCTGTGGAGCACTCAAAAGCATAAACCAAAAAGTCCACCTTTTCTCTCAGTTTACTGGAGGTAAATACTTAAATCACTTGGGCACCACTGTCAGAAGATGACAGTTACCAACTATAAATGGACATCTGTGATAAACATAGCTTGAGGAGTGGATTATGGTAGGGTAAGATCAGGGTAACTCCATTCAAAAGTGTCACTATCATAGCCGGCAAGGTGCCCTGGGGAAGTTGGTAGTGACACAGAAATCTTCCTTTGGACATAGGGCAATCAATGCTATTCACAGTGTTCACCTCTATGACTATGTAAGAACAGGGCCTGCGCTGTCTACAGAGTGATAGCCTGTGAAGCTGTTAATGGATTGAGCTACATTTCAAATTGTATAGACATGCCCAGGCTAACTTGGACAACAAGTTTGGTCATTTCTGGTACTGTAGGTGGAGCTGCATATACTTCAGCGTGGGCTAATACAGTCCATCCAGAAGACTGCAGTCTGATCTTCTCTCATCACTTTTGGCAATGCTGTCTACAGGAGCAAGTGGGGTTTAAAGTCTGAAAAGAGACTTCACTGCATAAATGCATTACCTCTAAAGCCCCAGTGACAGCTGCACCTAGCTGCTTCTCAGAAGATAATCTGTTTCTATGCCTTACCTTTTTTGGTTTCTGGCTCATAATGTGCAAGCAGCAGCACCCACACCTACTATTTTTGTCCTGTCTTATTTGCAGCTGGATTATGGCTGTGAGGTTTATTCAGGTGAGGTTTATTCAGGTTGGATGCTGAGGCTACATTTGACTGAGAGTAGACCAGAGTCCATGGACTTTATAAACAGAAATGTAAAAATCAACCCCTACTGATTGCATACTACTTCACTCTGTACAATAGACATGGCTGTTTGTGGTGCCAAGTTCAATAGCTTAAATGTTACGTCATTTATAACTGAGCATGGTTACTAACTGCAGGCTGACCTTCAGCTTTGGATTTGCTTAATATTTTAGCTTTATGTTTTCCCCAAATTTGCTCAGAACTCTTTGTACCATGGATTACTAATCTATAACTAAATATTGTCCTTGGTGTTCATCTAGATGATGGTATTTGGAACCTATGCAAATCAATTATCTTTTCTTTGAACTTTGTAAGCAGCTTCATTACAGGCTTTTATTCTTACAATTTTAGTGAAAAGTACAAGAAAATAAAGTAATTGTTTACTTGGGCTCATTGTTTTAAATCACATCCCCCCTATGAAGC